TGAGGCAGGCTAAATTGATAGGATGCGTGATGCATTGATCTAGGATGGCTCCTTCTTTTTCAATGGTCTGCTGCAGTATTGGTATTCTATTATCTTCACTACCAGTTCGGTAGTAGGAGCACGCACGCACGCATGCATGCATGCACACATCTGGGCATACACAGAACCTTCTGCGCATGTGCAGAAGGTCCATGATCGTGATCCAACAAATGCGCACACGACAAAAGCGCGCCGGCAAAACCGCTGCAAGAAAACCGCGATGTCATAAACACGCCCACAACAACGCACCGACAAAACTGCGCCCACAAAAGCACGATTTAAGTTAAGGTAAGGGTTAGGGTTAGGTTCAGGGTTAGGTTCAGGGTTAGGGTTAGGGCTATTAGGTTGTTAGTTGTTTATTGAAGGTGCGCTTTTGTCGGCACGCTGTTGTTGGCGCACTTCTGCGTGCATTTGTCGGCGCGATTTTGACCTTGCGGTTTTCTCACCGTGGTTTCGTCGGCGCACTTTTGTCGAGCGTGCATATGTCGGTGAACCGTCCATGATGACGTCTGGGTGGGTGGGCAGAGCCTCAAACTGCTGCTACTACCAGTTCTCCCAAACCGGTGCGAATCAGGAGCATACTACCTCTCGTCTGCTGTAGAAAACGAGTAGATATGATGAAAAGCAAGGGCTTTTATATCATTGTACAAATGTTTTGAAAAACAGTCTATAGGGAACCTTTTCTTATGAGTCTCGTTTCTACTTTTTGTTGGTCTGTTAAAATCTTAATTTTTCAGGAAACCTTTGAGGAGTTTGATGGCTGATTCAAACCACTTCAGATATTTCTAGGAGATTAATTAATATTTTGAGAACATTTTACCTGCTTTGTTCCTCATTCCTGGTTCTTAGGCATTATTGGACACTGAGCCCTTTTACTCAAATTGTAGGCTTTTATCTTGTTATGCGGCAATCTTCTGCAAATCTATATAGAATTAAAATTGACTAAATTATGTGAAATTTAGTGAAAGGTAAATATGTTTAAATTTGAAGCAGAATGAATATGGCGATTTTCCAATAAAGTAAAATGAGGTAGTGATGATGATAATATAAAATGCTTTACCCCCAATCTTAATTAATCCAGATTTTTTTTTCTCCTACTACTAAGATTTTGCAATTATAAAATTCCCACTAATGTGTTTATTTAATATTGTCACTAAAATGATTAGACTATTATACCGTGAAAAATAAGAAATGAAAAAAAAAAAGCAAAATTACAGGAAACCTGTTTTATCTTTTGTGTCAAAAAGTATCTTCTATTTCAGATTGTAGTACTAGCAAAAATTATAATTGATGTGGATCAAGTTACTTTGTCTGCAAGAGGAATTTCTACCTTGGTTGACCTACTATGTTCAGAAAAATCATCCACTTTAGTGTTAACAGGTAACTAATGTTGTAAAAGGGGAAATGTATATAAAATACTAAAATACTGTGCAGTATCATTGTAGTGACAAAATATTATTAACTATAATGCGGGGCCTAAGAGTGAAGATTTAATGAAGGAAACAGGGCTAATCTCTGGTGGTGAAATAGTTAGAATGCAATATTGCAGGCTAACTCGGCCAACTGCCAGCAGTTCAATCCTGACCAGTTCAAGGTTGACTGAGCCTTCCATCATTCCAAGGTCAATAAAATGAGGAGCCAGATTGCTGGGGGTAATATGCTGATTCTCTAAACCTCTTTAGAGGTTCATATATACAGAAAAAGGCATCACTCCACACTGACTCTGAAAGAAGTATGAAAGGAAGAAGAAATTAGATCACCATCTAGACCAGTGTTTCTTAAAGTAAGGTTCTGGGAGCCTTGGAGGTTTCCAACATCCTGTCAGGATCCTTAGATCAAAATTATTTGCTAGCCTATATTAAAAAAAATAATAACATATTAAAATCCATCAAAAATCACGAGAAGCAGTAGCAGCAATGAAGACATCGATTTTAATTTTTAATACAGTATGAGATGAAAAAATTAAGAAACACTCATCTAGTTCATACTAGATAGGTTGTAAATCATGGTATTTTAATGGTCAAGTTATTTTTCTTTTTAAATAATAACCAAAATAGTATCTAACTCTCTCCCTTCTTTTTTTTCCCCCTTTCCCTTTTCAGCCAGAGGATACGATTTGCCATCTTTGGGGTCAAACAGCAATTTCAGGGAAGGGGAGAATTCCTAGGAGTAAAGGGATGGTGGTGGAAGAGATAGATTTATGATATTTCAGGCAGTTAATAAAAAATAGTTAATTGGAATATATTAACAGAATTATAAAAACAAGAAAAATATATTAAAAATAGACAGCCAGTGTTAAAGTGCCCGCCTAGAAAACAGGACAGTTAAGTTTTAGTCCTGCCTTAGGCATGAATGCCAACTAGATGAATGATTTTGGGCCAGTCACTCTTTCTCAGTCCAGCCCACCTCATGAGGTGGTTGTTATGGGAAAATAAGATTATGTAAGTTCATTGTCTTGAAATATTTATAAAAATAATAAAGATAAAAAATATAATAAACACAAATTTTGATGTAACAACAATGGTCTGATTAATATTTGCTTCTATTATTTTGAAACAAAGCCTACACATAAATATATGCCAATTTGCTTTGCTGGTGCCTACGTTATGTATATCACTGAAGTAATTATATGGCTGATAATCCACTGAAACATACCTCACAATTTTCTGGCAAATATCCCTGAAATAAGCAAATATCTCAGTCAAGATTTTAGTCAATTTCAATACAAAAGCAGAGTTGGAAGGGACCTTGAAGGTCTTCTAGTCCAACCACCTGCCTAGGCAGGAAACCCTATACCATTCCAGACAAATGGCTATTCAATATCTTAAAGACTTCCAGTGTTGGGGCATTCACAACTTCTGGATGCAAGCTGTTCCACGGATTAATTGTTCTAACTGTCAGGAAATTTCTCCTCAGCTCTAAGTTGCTTCTCTCCTTGATTAGTTTCCACCCATTGTTTCTTGTTTTACCCTCAGGTGCCTTGGAGAATAGTTTGACTCCCTTTTCTTTGTGGCAGCCCCTGAGATATTGGAACACTGCTATCATGTCTCCCCTAGTCCTTCTTTTCATTAAACTAGACATACCCAGTTCCTGCAGCCGTTTTTTATGTTTTAGCCTCCAGTCCCCTATCATCATGGCTCTGTGTGTGTGTGTGTGTGTGTGTGTGTGTG